TGGGGTGGGTGTGGGGGGATTGCTTGCTGGGCTGCCCCTTCACTAGGGAGAAGGGAGTTGGGGGCTGGGACCCCTGGGTCCTGAATGAGGGGGCTCTTGAAGGTGCTAAGCTCAGCCCTGCTGCCCCAACTTTCCTAGACCCGCGCCCCATTTCCTGCAACAGCCAGAGGACCTGGTGGTGCTGCTGGGGGAGGAAGCCCGTCTGCGGTGTGCTCTGGGCGCCTACTGGGGGCTAGTTCAGTGGACTAAGAGTGGGCTGGCCCTAGGGGGCCAAAGGGACCCGCGAGGTAAGACGGTTCTCTCCACGCTGGGACGGGCTGGCTAGGGGTAGAGTTGCTGGGCTCGGCTGTACCTGCAGTTTCTATTTTGACATTTTAAGTTTGGGAAATTGATGGGCTTGGGTAAACATTTAGGAGTCCTGATTTTTGAGCTGCTTCTTTGAGGGTAACCCATAGAGTTTTGGAATTATTATGTTATTGCGAAATAGTAAACAGGCCAGGTGCGGTGGCTCACGCCTGGAATCCCAACGCTTTGGGAGGCTGAGGCCAGAGGATAGCTTGAAACCAGGAGTTTGAGACCAGCCTGGGCAACATAACAAGACCTTATCTCTAGAAAAAATATATATATATTTTAAACAAATTAGCCAGGCATGGTGATGTGCATCTGTAGTCCCAGTTACTCAGTAGGCTGAAGTGGTAGGATTGCTTGAGCCCAGGAGTTCAAGGCTGCAGTGAGCCATGATCAAGCCACTGCACTCCAGGTAATGGTGAGACCCTGTCTCAAAAAAAAAAAAAAAAAAAAGGAAAAGGAAAAGAAAGAAAGAGAACATAAATGCAAAAAATACAGTAAACATAAACGGAAGGTTTACCAAATAATATAGACACTCACACAGCCAATACCCAAGTCCACTGCCAGCTCCCCAGAAGCCCCCGTATTCCTTTCCCCTATCATAGCCCCCCTCCCCCTCACTCCAGAAGTAGTATCTAACCTAACTTTCATGGCAATCATTTTCTTGCTTTCCTTTCTGAATTTATTACCACCAAGTTTGCAGTGACTCTGGGTTGGGAGGGAGTTAGAGTCTCTATTGGCCCAGTACACACTCTTTAATAGTGTCTTACCACCAAATGTGTGGACCGGTCAGAACCATGGCGTGCTGCCTCCTCCCTGACTCCAGGGTGGTCCCGGTACTGGATATCAGGGAATGCAGCCAATGGCCAGCATGACCTCCACATTAGGCCCGTGGAGCTAGAGGATGAAGCATCATATGAATGTCAGGCTACACAAGCAGGCCTCCGCTCGAGACCAGCCCAACTGCACGTGCTGGTAAGGACCTCACCCACTTGTCCCCTGGGAGCCCAAGGGGGCAGCCAGTATTAGCTGTGAGTAGCAGAGTCCAGGGAGCCCAGGGGAGTGGTCAATTGGAGCTGAGAGGATCAGGATCCATCTCTGACCCCAAATCCACCTTGCAGTCCCCCCAGAAGTCCCCCAGGTGCTGGGCGGCCCCTCTGTGTCTCTCATTGCTGGAGTTCCTGTGAACCTGACATGTCGGAGCCTTGGGATGCCCGCCCTACCCCTGAATTGCTGTAGTTCCGAGATGGGGTCCGGTTGGATGGAACCACCTTCCATCAGGTCAGGTCCAAATTCCTGTGCTAGCCTTTGCCCATTCAGGAAAACTTGGGGTACACTCTGACCACAGGCTCATCCCGAGGAGAAGAAGACATGGGAGGGCAGGGGTTCAAGGGTTTGGACTCTTGAAATATGATGCAGGGTCAAGATTCTAGGGCCAGACTACCTGGGTTCAAATCATGTCTCAGCCACTTGCTAGTTGATTGATCTTTAGTTAACCTCTCTGTGCCTCAGTTGCCTTATCTATACAATTGGAATAATAATAGCATGCATGTCATAGGGTATGGTGAGGATTAAATAAATAAAACCTATAAATGCCCAGAAGAGTGCCCAACACATAGTGAACCCTATATAAGTAAGGCAAGCTTATCCAACCTGTTGTCTGTGGGCTGCATGCAGCCCAGAATGGCTTTGAATGTGGTCCACCACAAATTCATATACATTCTTAAAACATGATGAGACTTTTTTGTAACTGTTTAGCTCATCAGCTATCATCAGTGTTAGTATGTATGGCCTAAGACAATTCTTCTTCCAATATGGCCCAGGGAAGCCAAAAGATTGGACACCCCTGATGTAAGGGGTAGATGGCATTATTATTCTTATCCATCCCTCCAGACCCTGCTGAAGGAAGGGACCCCTGGATCAGTGGAGAGCACCTTAACCCTGACCCCTTCCAGCAATGATGATGGAGCCACCTTGGTCTGCAGGGCCCGGAGCCAGGCCCTGCCTGCAGGAAGGGACACAGCTATCACACTGAGCCTGCAGTGTGAGTGCAGCTGGCCCTGGGAAAGAGGAGTGTGGGGCCCTGACTCCTGGGTATGAGGAAGGAAGGGACTGTGGCCCCTGGGGAATGAGGAAACTGGGACCTGGATTCCTGGATCTAAGAGAGCAGGAGAGGGCCAGGTATGGTAGCTCATGCCTGTACTCCCAGAACTTTGGGAAGCCGAGGCGGGCGGATCATCTGAGCTCAGGAGTTCGAGACCAGTCTGGCTAACATGTCGAAACCCGTCTCTACTAAAAATACAAAAATTTGCCAGGCATGGTAGCACACGTTTGTAATCCCAGCTACCTGGGAGGCTGAGGCAGGAGAATCACTTGTACCCCGGAGGCAGAGGTTGCAGTGAGCTGAGATCCTGCCACTCGGCAACAGAGTGAGACTCCGAGCAGGAGAGGACAGATGGCTGGGGGTCCCTGGGGAAAGAGGAAGCTGGGCCTTGACTCTCACATCTGGGAGAGTAGGAGAGGATAGAAGTAACTGGGGGAATTGGGAACTGAAAGCCCAGACTCCTGACTCAAAGGGAGAAGGGGATTAGGGGCCCAGACTCCTGGGGTGGAGGAACCAGGGACTGGACCCCTAGGCCAGTGACAGAGGTGTTCCTGGTCCTTGCCCACCTGACCATTGTCCCACCCTCACAGACCCCCCAGAGGTGATTCTGTCTGCTTCACCACACACTGTGCAGGAGGGAGAGAAGGTCACTTTCCTGTGCCAGGCCACAGCCCAGCCTCCTGTCACAGGCTACAGGTGAGGACGAAGACCACCTCTCCCTAGCCCCAAGAGTGAGCTTGGGAAGGGCTGGGACCTGAGTAGGTGTGCCGGAGAGCAGGGACAAGGGTAACAGCGCCACCATTTCCTCAGGTGGGCAAAAGGGGGCTCCCCGGTGCTCGGGGCCCGCGGGCCCAAGTTGGAGGTCGTGGCAGACGCCTCGTTCCTGACTGAGCCCGTGTTCTGCGAGGTCAGCAATGCCGTGGGTAGCGCCCACTGCAGCACTGCGCTGGATGTGCTGTGTGAGCTGGGGCGGGGCTGTGGGTGGGGTCAAAGGTGGGCGAGGCTTTCAGGGTTGCTGAGGGGCGGGGCTTGGAAGGGCAGGGCCGGGAGAGTGGGCGTGGGGTATTAGGAGAAAGAAAGAGTGGACTTGGGGCATATTCTTGCCCCCTAGGGTGTGGTGTTTCTATGGGGCTGATCCCGGGTCAGGGACTGCATTCCTCCCCGGCCTTGTGACCTCTCATCTCCTTCGTCCAGTTGGGCCAATTCGCAGGCAAAGCCAGAGCCCCTGTCCGTGGACGTGGGGGAAGACGCCTCCTTCAGCTGCGCCTGGCGCTTGAACCCGCTTCCACGGGTAACGTGGACCCGCCGCGGTGGCGCGCAGGTGCAGCCCTAAATCTGAGGTGGTGGCTGGCGGGGAACCAGGCTTCCTTGCAAATCCGGCTTCTGACGTCCCTTCCCTGTCGCAGGTGCTGGGCTCTGGAGCCACATTGCGCCTTCTGTCGGTGGGACCGGAGGAGGAAGGCGACTATGTGTGCAGGGCTGAGCCTGGGCTCTCGGGCCAGTGGGGCGGCGCCGCGGAGGCTCGGCTGACTGAAGGATGAGAAGGCGCAGCTTCCTAGGGGACCTAGCCCGTCCTGGGATAGGGAGTGGACAGAGTGGGCAAGGGCTAATGCAGTGGGAGTGGCCTGGAAGGAGCTTTACACCCAGCGGGGCCTGGAGACCGACCTATTAAAGGCGAGGTTTTTAGGGGAATCGGAGTTTGGAGGCAGCATGGCCTGACTGATTAAGGTTAGCGGAGAGTGCGCTGGCCAGACCAGGCTTTGTTACAGCCTTTGCGGAGAGCAAGGCCTCTCCTCTGAGTGACCCACCGTCTCCATCCCAGCTCCCCCAGTAGTGACCGCCCTGCACTCTGAGCCTGCCTTCCTGAGGGGCCCTGCTCGCCTCCAGTGTCTGGTTTTCGCCTCTCCCGCCCCAGATGCCCTGGTAAGGAAATATCACTCCTCCTGTGACCCATCCAGCCGTGATCCCTGACCTCCCACCTGGCCCCCCGAAACTACTGTGACCATCTCTGCCTTCCCAGACATCCCTCCTGCTTCTTCCTCCCTTCCTCAGTCTCCTTGGTGTCCTCACTCTTTTATGCCCCCAGGTCTGGTCTTGGGATGAGGGCTTTCTGGAGGCAGGGTCGCGGGGCGGGTTCCTGGTGGAGACATTCCCTGCCTGGGAGAGCCGCGGGGGACAGGGTCCGGGCCTGATCTCTGTGCTACACATTTCGGGGACTCAGGAATCTGACTTTAGCAGGAGCTTTAACTGCAGTGCCGGGAACCGGCTGGGAGAAGGAGGTGCCCGGCCCAGCCTGGGCTGTAGAGGTGAGACCCCCGCCCGAAGACCCCAAATCTAGAGAGTCTAAACCCCACAAACTCAGGGATCCCCCAGCCGATGGTTGCAAAACCTCAGACCCTCAAATGCAGAGACCTCCAAACCTTGGGAGTCTCAAAACTGTGGCTCATTGATTCCCAAGACCCCCCCCAACCACAAATGCCTTCACATTCTGAATCCTAAACCAGAAGACTCCTCACACCTAGGGACCCCAAAAGAGAAACTCCAACGATTGCAAAGCAAATTGCAAAGTAAAGGACCCCTCAAACTCCAAGACCTTCTAAAGCCAGGGAGTTTAAACTCACTCTCAAACTTGGGGAACCCCAAATTCAAGGGCCTTTGGATCTCCAAATGTGCAACCTTTTGAACCCAGGGATCCCAAACTCAATCCCTGAGCCCCTGCTTCCTGGTTCACCCTCAGCCTTCTCAGGATGTCCCCTCTGCTCCCTGCAGACCTGCTGCCCACTGTGCGGATAGTGGCCGGAGTGGCCGCTGCCACCACGACTCTCCTTATGGTCATCACTGGGGTGGCCCTCTGCTGCTGGTGCCACGGCAAGGGTTAGTGCCTGAGCCCCGCCCCAGCTCCTCAGGCGCCAGCCCCACACACACCCTGCCTGCCCAGTGACCTGACCTGGCCTTGGGCCTTGGCTCCAGTCCCATTTCCAGCTCTGCTCAGGGCTTAGTTCGCCTTGAGGTTCTGGTTCCCTCCTTAAGCCCTAACCAGACCTTCCCAGGGTCACATTCCTAGGTGGGAAGGATTCTTATTGGTTTCCAACATCCCCACCCGATCCGCCTCATTAGTTCCCAGTCCTCTCTCTTCCCGCTTATTGTTCTGCACACATTGTGACCCTGTCCATCGCTTAACTCCACCCGTCGCTGTTCTTCAGCCTCAGCCTCTTTCTCCGAGCAAAATAACCTGATGCGAATCCCCGCAGTTTGCGAGGCCCTGAAGAGGAGGAGACAGGCCGCTGCAAGGACCGGGTAGGATGCCAGGGTCTCCAGACCCGACTGTGCCTTTAGACCCAAATAGTAGCCCAGTCCCAAGAGGGCCCCCACATTCAAACAGGACTCTAAGGCCAGGCATGGTGCCTGACGTTGGTAATACCACTTTGGGAGGTGGAGACACAAGGATCACTTAAGGCCAGGAATTTGAAGCCAGCCTGGCAGCATAGCGGGACCCTATCTCTACAAAAATACAAAATAAAATAAAATAAAAAATGAACCGGGTATGGTGGCACACACCTATAGTCCCAGCTACTCAGGACACTGAGGTGGAAGGATCCCTTGAGCACAGGAGGTAGAGGCTGCAGTGAGCTATGACTGCACCACACACTCCAGCCTAGGCTACAGAGCAAGACCCTGTCTCCATTAATTTTTTTGTTTTTTAAGTAGGAGGGTTCTAGTCTTTTTTTTTTTTTTTTTTTTTTTTTTTTTTTTTTTTTTAAACAGAATCTCACTCTGTCACCCAGACTGGAGTACAGTGGCACAATCTAGGCTTACTGCAACCTCTGCCTCCCTGATTCAAGTGATTCTCCTGCCTCAGCCTCCTAAGTAGCTGGGATTACAGGCACCTGCCACCACACCTGACTGATTTTGTATTTTTAGCAGAAATTGGGTTTCACCATGTTGGCCAGGCTGGTCTTGAACTCCTGACCTCAGGTGATCCACCCGCCTTGACCTCCCAAAGTGCTGGGATTACAGACATGAGCCTCCACGCCAGGCCTGAGGGCGCTAGTCTTAACAGTGACCCCGCACCCAAATGTCACCCAAGTCCATGCCCCTGACCCGATTATTCCCTAGGCCCACTATATCCCCTCAGCCCTTTTTTTTTTTTTTTTTGAGACGGAGTCTTGCTCTGTCGTCCAGGCTGGAGTGCAGTGGCGTCGAACTCAAGCTCCACTGCAAGCTCTGCCTCCCGGTTTTACGCCATTCTTCTACTTCAGCCTCCCGAGTAGCTGGGACTTTCCCTCCATCTTTAAAGCCTACAGCATAGCATCTTCAAAAAAACCTATCTGACTCCTCTTCTGCCTCACTCTTACTTTAAAGGACACGTGTGATTGCAGTGGGCCCACTAGGATAACCCAAAGATAATCTTCCTATTTTAAGCTAATCATCTAATTTGCAAACTTATTTCCATCTACATCCGTAATTCAGCTTTACCACATAACACGATCTATCCATAGATTGTAGGGATTTGGGTCTGGCATCTTTAGGTGGGGACATTCTACTTATAACAATATGTAGAAAATTACTGCCTAATGTAAACAAATTGTAATATTTATTGTCTCTCTCTGGACAGATCCCTAAAGCACTTCATCTGTATCTGCAATCCTATGTTTATTTTTAAAATATAGCTGTGAATAAACATCACAAAATTATTGGTCAATTTCAGTGGTGCATTCATGTTTTGATATTAATCTTTGTAATTTCCTGCATTTTAACTAGTGGAAATAAAAATACATCACATGTAAATAAATATGAATGCAGTGAAATTATTATAGAGAACTAGTTCAATGAAAACGAATAACTTATCTTTCTTTTAAGCATAACATCTATAAATTTAAGTGCAGTTTTAAAAGGGGAAAATGAGTAGAAAAAAATAAAAGAATTACGTAATGTACAACAATTATTAAGGAAAAAAGCCCATTTGTCAGAAAAGAGTAAGTTATATGCCATTAAAGAAATTAGAAAGTATCATTCAAATAAAAAAAAAAAAACAAATAAGATCTACGTGAATGTAACTTGACAAAACAGCAAGAATTTCAGATATATTCAACATAGCCATGTACACAGAGAAACTTCTACCTTAACTTTGAAGTTCAAAGTTCCTCCTGAGCTTAGGGAGGGTGTTGTGCAGTTCCAGGGAAGAAACAAGTCCAATTACAATCTGTAAAGTTTTCCACTACCAACAGTAGGCTTTTGATCTGAGATTGCCACACGTGGTTTATGTTCTGTGAAAGGCAGATGTACAAATAGGAAAGCTCTCTACTAAGTCTTGGCAAATGCCATCAAGAAGGTAGGAGGGCTGAGTAACAAGCGAAGTTGATACTATAAAGAAAGTATAAATTTATGTCTCTTTGTCCCAATGAAAATGGCCATATTGAAAAAGATGCAAACTATCGCAAGAACAGATAACCAAATACTGCATGTTCTCATTCATAGGTGGGAACTGAACAATGAGATCACTTGGACACAGGAAGGGGATCATCACACCCTGGGTCCTATTGTGGGGAGGTGGGGGGGGAAGGGATAGCATTAGGAGATACGCCTAATGTAAATGACGAGTTAATGGGTGCAGCACACCAACACGGAACATGTATTCATATGTAACAAACCTGCACGTTGTGCACATGTACCATAGAACTAAAAGTATAATTTAAAAAAATTTTTTTAATTTAAAAGAAAAGAAAAAGATGTAGAAATGCAAGGTGAAATGGAGAGGGGAGCAGTAGGAGACTCAATTGCAAATTAAATTACAATTGTGTAAATTTTGAGATAACTGTAGCCTTTAAAATATTTGAGTAAATATTTTTATCTCTAAATGAAATATTATTCAAAAATTTTTTTCACAGATGTGTCATGGCATTTAGATATTTTGTAGTTAGTATTGCATGTCCAGAATAATTATAATTGCAACCACCTCACAGAACAAAGTAATTATAAAAAGTAGCATTGATTTTTCAGCTAAGAATTTTTAAGTGTCTTAAAACTCTTCATTGAAAAGCTACTTTCTTTGGTAAATTGATTAAGGTCACTCCAGTGACCTGTGAGACGTTTATTAAGCTGTACTATTCCAAAGCTTTTTGAGGGTATGTGTACTGATACTCCTTAAATAGCCATGACTGTGGCAGTGAGATCTGGATCACGTTTGCAGGGCGTTTTCCTAAAAAGCATGTACGCCGGTTTTTTTCCTCTTATTTCTCTTTAATTTTGGACATTTTCAATATCTTCATTGCTTTCAAAAGTCTAAATGACTGAGTATTAACATCAATTGAGAAAATTATTGTTTCTATAGAAAATGTATGTCACAGTGCAGCTCTTTAACATTTCGTTTTTGGGTTGTTTAAAGGTAACATAATTTTAAAAACCAGGATGACTTATTTTTCTATGTGCAGGGAAAATATCAGAGCTAAAGGGTTAATGTGAATGTTACATCTTTAAAGCCAAAAGGAAATTCAAGGAGGCCATCGAGTTGCTTTAGACTCAGCTATAGTTTCATTTCCCTTTTGTTTTAAATTTTGTTTTATACTCAGCAATATTACAGTTTATAGACAGATTTTAAATTTTACCTTATTTATTTTAAATTCTACTTAATGGCAGAAATTTTATTACTGGAATAAAATTGGACATTATTCTGCTTTTCAGAAAATAAGAAAAGATTCTTATGACACAACAATATGGTTAATTATTAACCTAAAGACAAAGTCAGAGAACGTAAAAATGAAATAAAGCAACATAAACATGAAATTCTACAAATGGAGGGTGATACATGGAGAGAGCTAAGATTTATGCTGAGGCCCAAAAAAGATGAATAAAAATGACAGGAATTAATTAAGCGATATGGATTCTCCCTTATGTTAGTTGCTATTTCTACTAATAATGAATAATCTTGTAATAAGTACTGTCACTTTCAACTGTGAGGTAAGTTACACTCATCATGGTTCACATTATTATTTTAATTCTTTATGTCCAAACACATCATTGTGGTTACCTCTCTCTTCCCATACTGCTATTATTGCTTTAACTTTTAGCACCACCAATCCATTCTGGATTGCTGGAGTGATCTTTTCAAAAATGTAATTTGGATTAAGTACTCCCTGACATAAAGCAATTTAAGTTCATATTACATTATATTTGTGACTATGGGCATACTCAAAAACCAGATAAACATTTCAAGTTATTGTTAGGAAACAAAAGCTAAAACTATGAGTCTGCTTAATTTTCCTTCGAGGAATAGGTGTTGAGTTTTATTCCTGGTGGGTAAGTGGCCATGCACTGCAGAAAATCAAAACCAGGCTCACAACTCTAAATTCCTCACTGAATTGGCCTTTCTTGCACCCAGGAACAAAGACCCAGGAACAAAAACATCAGAAATGGAGCCCCGTGGCTGTGCCTTTTATAGATATTGCTCCCCTCTGATAGTAAGACAAAAAATGACAACCATTAAACTTTGTCTTGGGCTAGGCTACTTGAGACATGATCTCTCCCTAGTTACTGCTGAACAACAGCCCCAAGTTGCAGGACTCAGGGATGGGAACAGGCAACTATTAATTCATGGGTTGGGAAGAAGTGAACACAGATCTTAAAAAGTAACAGCCTTTCCCCCCACAATGTGGAAACTGAAACCTTCTGTAGTAAGTAATAAGCTGACAAATAAAGGTTTCAAAGTAAGTGAGAGGAAATAATGGTTTTAAAAAGCCCCAAAAGCTCTCATTAAGATAACTTACAGATCAATTCAACAATAGACTGTGTTTGCATGTGTGCGTGTGCGTGTGTGTGTGTGTGTATATACACTATATTGTCTCACTATGTTGCGCAGGCTGGAGTGCAGTGAAAATCTTCAATTTTACAGTGTTGAGAAGTGGGATGTTTAAGGGATGATTAGGTCATGAATAGAATGATGACAGTATCCTAGGAGTGGGTTAGTTATTGCAACAGTTGGTTCCCCATGAAAGAATAAATTTGGGCTTCTTCCACTCCCTCTCTCATGCACTCTTCCCATTCTGCTTACTGCTGTGGGAAGATGCAGAAAGAAGGCCCTTGCCAGATGCTGGTACCTTGATAAGAGACTCCAAAACTACGAGAAATACATTTATTTTCTTTAAAAATTACCCAGTCTGTGGAACTCTCTCATAGCAACATAAATGGAGTAAGACACTGGCCCAGCCAAGTTGGCATATAAAATTAACTATCACAATCACAATCACAAAATCAGAGTAAGCTGGCAGAATACCAGAATACACAGAGGAAAACAAGGCTTGAGAGACGTTTTTTAAAATTATGTTTTTAAGATTGGAAAGAATAACACCTTTTCTTTCACCCAATTATCTGCAAGATATTTCATGATCTAAAGTAGTAAAATTTGAAAAATTCTTAGAAAGCTACTTAAGAAGTCAAGAGGACAGAGATAATTCATCCTA